GGAGTCCAGACTCCATGGATGATGGTGCCCTCTAGCTGTCGAGCAATAGTTGACCCGGTGGCAGCACACCACCGGAGGGTCTAGGTAGTAGTAGGTAGCGACGGAGGAGCGCTAGGGGAGCTCTCGGTGAGTGATCGTGAGCTTGAAGACCATGAACATTAACTTGTGCGCAGTAAAGAAGGAAAATAAAAAAACAATAAAATGGATAAAAAGGAATCAAAGTTGGAAAAATCAGAAGAAAAATGGTCGTTTTGTCCACGTCACATTATCGGGGTTACATGTAGAATGATATGATGATTGGACTACCACATCAGATAAATCCAGCAAGACTTGGATGATGGTTGATTGCATTTTCCCTCAACGGTTTATGATTACATTGATTGATTTAAATGTTCACGACTTGGTTTGTTCTGTACAATAAGTTTATGACTGGTTGTGCAATTTTCCAGATTAAGATGAATGTGAAATAATTGTCAAGTTTTTGTACTTAATTACATGATAAATTAATTGGAAATTCTCCATGAATTTCGCATCTTTATAAGAGCCGCGAACCTCAATGGAATCTTCCCTTGATTCCTCTGTCATGCCCATTAAACAAAGCAAATATTGTTCCATTTGATAAGTTACTTTGATCAAATAGGTAACGTTGACCGTAGTTTTTCATTTAGACTGAGGCAATATGAAGAAAACTCCATGTCAATCTTTATAATCTGTGAAAATATTATTCTCACCGTCCTATAGTAAAATAATTTTCCAAAAACTTAAGTTGGATATAGAAAAATCAAATACCAAGCTACATATTAAGAAAAATCCCACATTTTAGAGTGTAAAATCTAATTAGATCTTCTGGTTTTTATCCATGAAGTACACGACTTAGGGGTGGTAAGTATAAAAACAAGTTCACCTGTTTTACCGTATGTACACGCAATGTTTTTTCACCAATTCGGAATTACCACAACCAAAGCACATTCATGCACATATTATTCATTAATTACCAATAAGAATTCTAAAAATTAGTATAAATGCTTACAAAGCTAGACTCAGTCCGTGTTTGCATGAGATAGAGAGAATCATATGAGATTTATGCTCCGTTTATTTTGCAAACGATAAATGATTTGAAAAATATTTTCTTAAAACCGATCGCTTATAAAAATAAATAAGCGAAAAATATTTTCATTGTCCATAAAAATGTTTAGGAATAAATTATTGTCGATAAATAGAAAAATTTTCCATTGACTAATTATTTCAAGCAATACAAGTGATTAGTTTGAAGGAAAATATTTTCGAAATCATTCATTTTTCGCGAAATAAACGGAGCCTTAGCTATTTAATATTTTGATACCGTCGCTATTATCTCATATTGACGCAATTGGCGAATGCAATAACTAAATATTGTATAAACAAGACCATCGTCTCAAACCGAACAAATTGCGAACTGGGTTTGGGATTTATCAAATTGAAAGAGACAATGTGCTCGAACTAACCAAGACGAAATCATGGATTTGGACCCAAATTTTCGATTTGGAACCAAGGTTGTTAACAACATTTTTTGAGTAAATTTGCTGTGAGGTTTACAAAACCTTATCACAAGATTGGATCGTAAAATCTGCTATACAAAATATATAATATATAATTGTAAAGTGGTAAAATACACACATATAATTGTGATAATTCATACAAGAAAACAAACGAAATACAAATAAAACTAACTACTTTATAGCTCCACAGCTCATACCTTTATCTAAAAACTAACATACTTCAAAGACCAGCAAATTATATTTTCAACTTAAAATATAAGCATAATCAGAATTTTTATCAAAGTCTAGATTATGATCAGAACATATTTTATCGGATCATTGAGCTAAACTAGCGCAAAATTAGTGGCAAAACGTTTTACACAAATCATATTTTTATCCCAACCATATGTTTTTTCTTACTTAATTTGGCTCAAGTATTCTCTTTTTTGTTTTTCCCAATCCAACAGAGGATCGAAAATTGTAAAATCGCTTTATTTATTTTTCATGTCATACAAATTTGAAACGTTAAGATGTTGACATTATTAAAAGGGATAAGATCACTGGAAGTTTTAAAATATATCATGAAAGTATTTTTTTTTTTGGTAAGTACATGAAAGTATTATTAAGTCCTAAAACTTTCAAAAAAAGTGCAATCAAGTTATAAAACTTGTCACAAAAGTGTTATTGAGTCTTAAAACTTTCAAAAAGTGCAATCAAATTCTAAAACTTGTCGAGTTAGTGCAATCAAGTCTTAAAACTTGTTAGCATTTTCTATCTGTCAAGTTGGACGGAATTAACGGAAGGACTTGATTGCACCAACTTGACAAGTTTTGGGATTTGATTGCACTTTTTGAAAGTTTTATGACTTAATTGTACTTTTGTGACAAGTTTTATGTCTTTCAGTGCACTTCTCCCATACTAAAATTATTCATTTGGGATTGTAAAATCTTAATATTTGAAGATTTCAATTTGGGTTTTACTAAATTCTACCCATTTAGATTTTAACGAGATTTGATCTTTCAATGCATTTAGAATGGCAAAATCGTAAAATTTTGAAATTTAAATCTCGATTAAACAACAAGATTTTGAGCTCAAATCTTCTGTTTGGACCTTAGTTGGGCCCCTAGTTTTCAATTTGGATGCGAACTCGGTTTGGATACACTTGGCATTTTCCCCTCCTTGTTGCATTTTTTAATTTCAGGATGAAGTTTAATTTTCGAACCTTTTGTGGTTGAATCATTTGGTCTTTCTGCTTGTATTCCCTCTCAATTCAACCCTAAATTTTGGATTTATGACAAAAACACCACTCTTGGTACACATCGCCATCCTAATTTTCACTCACATGACGTGTCATTTCTACATGTCACCACCGTTTGCCGTGGTAGCTGCCGCATAACCTTGTTGGCATCAAAAAATCAACCATGGATGCTTTTGTCCCACGGGCAAAATTTTTTTTTTTGCTTTTTCCTTTTGTTTTTATAAAAGGGGGTATTTGTGTCAATTTGGGGCCTTATTAAAAAAAAATAGTACTGATTTTACATTGAGTGACAATTCTGGCTTGAACTTTTTTTGTCTCATAAAAAATTATAAACTTTCACTTAAATCTCGAATCTGACCCGAACAATTTAAAAATTAATGCTTTTTCACATAACGGAAGGCTGGATTTGTGACTAGAGTAAAAGTTAGTACTTTTTATTGAGATAAAAAATGAGTTCGGATCAGAATTATCAAGGTAAAGTTGATAACTTTTTTTGAAATTAGCCCGTCAATTTGGTTATAAATCTGTACTTTTCTTTTGACGTATGTGTGATAAATTTACTCCGGAAAAAGGTAGAAAAAAAGGGAGAAGATTTGAAGAGGGAGCAGGTGAAATTGAGAGTGACATCGAGGCTCCGCCCTTTTCCTGTGTGGTCAATAGAGTTATCAACCATCGCATGCATGTCAACGGATAGGATTTCTTTAATATAAATGAATGGATAAACATGACATCGAAGGGAAATTTCTCCTCAAAACACTCGTCATCACAATCCTTAACTTTGTGGTCTCGCGTGGATCTTTCGGCAATCGAGAGGGATCAGGATCCGAATCAAAAGTTGAAAATCCGAAGGGTTAATATAATGAAAAATATCAAATTAATATAATTATAATAAATTTATTTCAAAACTTCAAATTAGTATAACTGTCACAAATTTATCTTTCGTTAGTTTCCGTTAAATTTTATCATCAAATTGCTAAGTTGAATGATACATGACAGTTGACAAATATATCAATTTGAGGTTTTATCATCCGTTTACCACAAATATATCATTTTTATAATTTTTCGTGATATTAATCTAAGTTAACGAAAATTAATGAAGGATAAATTTATCATAAATATATCAATTCGAAATTTCTATTGGTCAAAAATTTAATTTGACATAAATTTATGGGAAAAAACCACCAAAAACCCCAAACTTTGCCATCTGTGACACATTTACCCCGAACTTTTTTTTGTGACACCAAAAACCCCGAACTTTGCTTTTTGTGACATATTTACCCCAATGTATTTAGTCCATGGGCATTTTCGTCTTTTTTGCTTTTTCTTTTTTTTTTCCTTTCCGGCGAGGGGGGGGCCTCGCCGGCGTCGGGCGAGGGCTGCCCTCGCTCGCCCAGGCGAGGGCGACCCTCGCCGGCGTCGAGCGAGGGCGGCCCTCACTCGATCCGGCGAGGCGACCTTCGCTCGACGCCGGCGAGGGTCGCCTCGCCCAATCTAGCGAGGGCCGCCGCCGGCGTCGGCGAGGGCCGCCTCGCCCGACGCCGGCGAGGGCCGCCCTCACTTGACGCCGGCGAGGGTCGACCTCGCCAGACGGGCGAGGGCCGCCTCGCTCACCCGAGCGAGGCGGACCTCGCCCGACGCCGGCGAGGGTCGCCCTCGTCGGGCGAGCGAGGGCGGCCCTCGCCCGACTCGTGTGAGGTCAACCCTCGCCGACGCCGGCGAGGGTCGACCTCGCCGAGCCTGGGCGAGGGCGAACCTCGCCCAACGCCGGCGAGGGCCGCCCTCGCCGGATCTGGCGAGGGCCGCCCTCGCTCGACGCCGGCGAGAGCCCCCCTCGCCGGATCCGGCGAGGCAGCCCTCGCCGACGCCGGCGAGGGCAGCCCTCGCCGACGCCGGCGAGGCCCCCTCACGGAAAGGAAAAAAAAAAAAGCAAAAAGACGAAAATGCCCATGGACTAAATACATTGGGGTAAATGTGTCACAAAAAGCAAAGTTCGGGGTTTTTGGTGTCACAAAAAAAAGTTCGGGATAAATGTGTCACAGATGACAAAGTTTGGGGTTTTTGGTGATTTTTTTCCTAAATTTATTAGATTAATATGGAGTTTTTCGTGCGATTAACTCAAATCCGAATCTAGATAATAATTTCTCCAAAAGAAGCCATTTTGCATCACAGTCCATAGTGGACCCGACCCGACCCATGGAAAGGTACTGCGGACAAGCGCTCCAACGAGTTTTGTTTGTTTCAATGGCGAAGGAGGATGTATGTCGGCGATGGAGACTTGAAGCCGGAAGTGACCCTTTCGAGCCGAAGAAGATGAAGAACAAGAAGCGGAGGAGGGAGCAGCCCCGACCCACGATCCACCCCAGGAACAAGTACTCCGAGAACCCGCCGGATTTCGCGCTCCTGGCCTCCCTCTACCCTTCCTTCCGCCCCTTCGTCTCCTACGGCGGCCGCGGGGGCGGCCGACCCAGGATCGACTGGACCGACTTCAACGCCTCCCGCGAGCTCACCCGGGTCCTGCTCCTCCACGACCACGGCCTCGACTGGTGCTCCCTCCATTTCGCCGAGCAAAATTCGAACTTTGAACACCCCCGTTTTTTTTAATCTTGTTCTTTTTTCCGTTTAGCGTGCTGATTTGTTGCTGACCCATCGTGGGAGTCTGTCTGCTTCTGCTTTCTTGGTGGGTGTTTCGTGATTTTCTTGGAGTTTCTCTTCCGCGCATGATTATGAAAACTGATGGGTCAGTTAGCTGGTGAAGGAGCTGTTTGATGAGGCTCATGATGCAAACAGCTAATTTCGATGACCCGCGATAATAACTTCCAAGTTGCTCCGTGTCCGAGCAGCAACAACTCTTTGCAAGTTGGTTTCTGGGTGATATCAAAATTTCAGTATCAGTTATGTTGGGACACTGAAACGGGGGAAATCTCAGCTTCATAGTGTCATGTTCTTATCAACTGATATGCACGGGAATGGAAACTTGGAAGAAAGATTTCAATCACTTGAATGGTATGGAACGGAACATAGTGGCATAAGAGAACCCATATACTCGACGCACTTAGTGGAGAACAAAGAGCTTGGTTGTTATTGGTGCAGCCGTCGCTTATTTTGTGCCTTCCTATGTATATTATGATATAGAGAAAAAAGGGCTCTAGCGAAGCGTCTCTTCCGCCTGTTTTGGATCTTTAGGAAGTTAAAAGTTTCAGTGATACACTAACTACTTGGGCATAGTTATTGCACTTGTCTTTGGACTCGAATGTGCATTTTGAGGTTCATATCATGGTTCGAGAGCGCCTTTATAGCCTTTATGATTGCAAACCTGGCTAGTTCCTCCTTTATCATACTTTAATTCTCAATATGCTGCGGGCAGAACTGATCATATACTGCCCATCCCCGTGAGGGAAATTTACAGTCTAATTAGAGAATGAAATTTGGTAGTGTGTTGTCTGAGACTTTGAATAGGGTTGATGACTCTTTTCAAGATTGGCCTTTTATATGGTGTAATTGTTTGTTTTTCTGTTTCTAACACCGTTTATCTTTTTGTCATTGTGCATATGATTGTTATTTAGGTGGATTCCTGATGGACAACTTTGCCCTACGGTGCCCAATAGATCCAATTACATCCACTGGATTGAAGACCTTCTTTCATCTGAAATTATTCCTAAGATTAATAACAATGCCGATAATATTAGGGGATTTGACATAGGAACTGGAGCAAACTGCATATATCCTCTTCTTGGTGCATCTCTTTTGGGGTGGAGCTTCGTCGGGTCAGGTGAGCTTCTTAGTTTCATTGTCAATTGTCGACATCTAGATTTGAAGATGTCCTTTAAATGACTCAATCGTGATATTTCTTGACTTTGTTGTAGATGTGACGGATGTGGCATTAGAGTGGGCAGAGCGAAATGTTAAAACTAATCCACAAATTACAGACCTAATAGAAATTAGAAAGGTCGACACCTGTATGGATGCTTTTCTTGGGGAAGATTCTTCTAAGGACGATCTCCTAAGCTATGGAAGCAAAACAAATCCTAGCAACGGCACAGGTAGAGAGTCAGTGCCCGTATCTTCTTCTACACGTGATGATGCAGTTGAGGAGAACAATTATTCAGGACCACCTATCCTATTTGGTGTGGTCAGGGATGGTGAGACATTTGACTTCTGCATGTGCAATCCTCCATTTTTTGAGTCAATGGAGGAAGCAGGTCTGAACCCGAGAACTTCATGTGGTGGGACTCCCCAAGAGATGGTTTGTCCTGGTGGGGAGAAGGCTTTCATCACACGCATTATTGAGGATAGTATTAGACTGAAGCAGTCATTTCGGTATATATTTGTTTTCATCTTCTTGTGTGACATGCGTATATGTTCTTTTGCACACATATGACATTGTCATTTGTCATTTGTTTAGATGGTATACTTCAATGGTCGGTAGGAAATCAAACCTCAAATCCCTAATTGCAAAGCTACGAGAGGCTGGGGTCACCATTGTGAAGACAACTGAATTTGTGCAGGGACAAACATGTCGATGGGGAATTGCTTGGTCTTTTCTACCTCCTGCCAGGAAGATAATTTCACCTTATGTGGCTGAGAAAAGCAATCTGTCTTTTATTCTTGAGGTGTCAGTAAATTTTATCTCGCAGTTGTAGTAAGTTTGTTATTTTGAATCTTCAGTCGTGAGAATTTGTAGCTACTATTCTGCAACTTAAGAGATAACACGCAGCCACTTAAACTTGATTCGCGCTTTCTCTGTAAGCTGCCAAGAAAGATGCCTTCCCGCTTTTATCTGCTTTATGATTTTGCCTTTGCTTAGTGGTGACTAAAGCCATTATAGTTTTTCTAGGTTATTTGTATGGCTGCTTTATATCGTGTCAGTCTTTCCCTGACTTTATATATCTGTATGGATGGGTTGTTTCTTTGTTGTGGTAGATTAAAGATGTACTATAACCGCCGTTGGTTAGGTTTTTGCTCTTAAAAATTTGAGATACTTAGATAGATTCTGTAGTTTCAAGAGCTGCAAGCTCGGCTTAGTTGTTATGTCAACCAATATTAAGCAAAGACTTGACTTTAAATTCCAATTCTAAAGCTTGAAGGAGTACCACTTTTTAATTTCTTACTCCTACCATTCTATATGCATTCCTTTTCTTTGCTGATACTTTTCCCTTTGTGATGTAATACTTGAACTTTTGGTATCTCTAGGGCCTTCAACGTCAGTTTGGTGCCATACATGTCTTGCAATCAGTTGAATCCTTTTTCCATGAAACTGGCGCATCCTGTAAATTGAATGTCAGTTCATTTTCTGCCGATGTAAGCTTTTTATGGCGTAAGTATGAGTGTGTTTTAGCTTCCCAAAAACTGTTGTGTTAGCGGTGCACAAGTTTTCCTTACATCTAGGCCTTCTATTTTGAACAGATTACTGCATCAAATGATCATCTAAAAGGAATTTTGAGGAATAAGGAAGGGCTTCTTCAGGAATCTTTTGGTGGCAATTGTGAGGAAGAGCCACCTAGTTGCTCAGACACTATGCCGTGTCCTTCAGATGACTTAAGTTTCCGTATAACAGTAAAGCTCTCACCATTCTATGCTATGCTTGGAAAGAAATGTGTTTTAATCAGTGAAAACAAACCTTTCTTATTCGCCAATGATATAGTTTTATCTTATTTCCTAATCAGGTATTTCAGCAAATTCCCGGCACCCTGCTAGTGAAAGGATCATTACAGCGTAAAGATGGCTCAATTGCAGGTTCCTATAATTCATTATCTGCTTGCAACTAGCAAAAATAGCGAATGTTCTCACTGGAGATTAGGTGTTTCTTTTTTGTCAATGATGACTGATAAAAGAATTCTGTCAAGGGGTTGATGATTCATCTGTGGGTTATTTCCCGTCAGTGTGTACTTTTTTATGGTTATCTGTATCTTGAAAAACACCAGCATTTATTCCCGGAGCATTACCTGATTAACATTCATTAAATAGAACTTTCTTGCCATTTCAGAATGAGGGTAAGCCTCCCTTCATGGTAAATTTATTAGGTACTCCCGGCTTATGTTAGCCCACTCCACATGAGCCGTCAAAGGGCTTCTTAGGTAAATTTATTAGGTACTCCCTGCATGGTAGATTCATGAACGGCTCATGTGGAGGTAGGGTCCAATAAAAGCTCTCTCGGGCTCGACCTCTACGTTGATGCTTCTGCTTCTAGTTGTATCTGCAAGGCCTACTCTCATTAGTTTTCAGATATCCTTTCTTGACTCCGGGCACCCCGGCTTTGCTCTATGATTATGTCCAGTTGTTTCCTGTCTTGGGTGATGAATCCTTAAGTATCTTTAATGGCTCTTGGCTTTGCTTTGCTCACATCGGTTGGGTAGAGAGGATCTGTCATGTGGCTCTCATCTCAAAGGGAAAATAAATAAAAACAAACGGTTGATGCCATACTCATATCTGGTGGGTCTACATTGTCTGACATATCTTACCATTTGGCCTGCTAAATGTATAGGACATCAAGTCGGTCTGGACCTTCTCAAAGTTTCCAGCATTTGGTGTAAGATAATTTTGCATTGTCATGTTGCAGGAGTTTTTTCATCCATCTTCCAGCGGTTAGAGGAAGTCCTGAAGCAAAATTTTTGTAGAGAGAAGGCTTCTGTCCCTATTTCTTAGCAGGATACATGCCATCAAACTCGCACCTACATCCGATGCAAGCATCAATGCATATTCTGCTAGAAGAAATACCGTGCTTAGCATCCCTGGCAGAAAAACTCGCTCTGAGGACCTTATTGCAGCTCATGAGCATCCCCGCAAGATAGAACCTTTTGACCTGTGGGTCGAAGTAGGAAACTTATTGTGCTTAGCTGCTTCTATCTTTGAGTTTCCATTGATGCCTGCTTTTCCAGAACCTTGGTCTAGTTACATTTCCAATGCAATTTGCTAGTATGACTTGAGTTCTTTTTCTACAATTTGATGAGAGTCAATGTAAGGATATGAGTTCGGTATGGCATCATCCATTATTAAGGTTACTTCTGCTTGGGTTTTATCTTCCTCGTCTCGTTATGGTTCATTTATTCAGCTCTCTTGTGCACATAATTTGGTTTATGAGATCAATCAATCCGAGGCCTTTGGTTTATGAGATCAATCAATCCGAGGCCACTTTTAGAAATGGGAAGATATTGGGAAAAATGTGGTTTGGCACTCAAAAGCGTGCTGAACATCTTTATGGGGAAATATGCATCAGCCAAACTAGTGAGTGAACGTAATCTTATTCTAAAACTCTGCTTTCAATCCCCAATTCTGTAAAGTGAAGCCTCTTGTAAAAGGTTTACATTTTGGCCTATGTCACCCCACTTAAAAAGCGTTTGTCTTGTAGTCACATTGTTACTTTATCAGAAGCCAGTTGGATGCATGTGATTTGCATATTGCTCTTTCAGGCTACAATGTACTCCGTTGAAAGAAAATAGGAAGCTTCCTCCAGAATCCAACAAGGTACAGAGAGTGCCGACGCATTTTCATCTCATACCATTATTTGATTACACAGACAACTCTTTGTACACAATAAACCACAAACAAACAAATACATTAACTTAAGACCAAACAAATCTTACATACCATCTGACCCCAAATCAATAACTGTCACCTCTGATGCAGATGATTTGGTAGCGGGAAGGAGATCTCAAGCTCAATACAGGGACCGTGACATTTACACAAATAATACAGAGAAAAAATCACTCGAATTTCATGCTTTCCCTTCTATCCTGGCATGTGTGAGCCCGACACACGCTTCGACAAAATCCTCGTCGATGAAGTCCGTCGACAGAACCTGCAGATGATCAGCGCAACCCTTTGCAAAGCACTGTGATATAAAGAGCCGTGCGTACCCATGGATTCGGCCTGTCACTGGCTTGACGCACAAGACAGGATTGTCTGCTTTTGGCGTGACTGTGTTCTCCACCCGATAGAAGTACTTCCTGGACGACGCTGGCTGCTGGTCGCTCAAATGTTTTATGTTGCTGTCGAATTTAGTCGATGGCAAATCGGTGTCAATCCAATTGTCCTTCAAATACCCCGCGCTCCACAGAGGATCGCCCGCTTTCGGATGAGGCGACTTCCTAGGTTTCCAAACACAGATTATCCTCCTCGGCAACAATTCCTCGACCGTTTTCCCAAAGACATGGTCATCCTGGTGGATCAGGAATTCCCCTAGCTGGTCAACCAAGTACTTGTCGAAGTCCGGCGGGTCCGGGTGCCCGAATTCAGTCCTGATCTCGAGAATCACAATCTCCTTTTCAGTCTCCGATAGAAACTTCTTGATATCCCGGATCACGACGTCGACGCTGTAGGTGACTAGAATCCCGTGGCAGACCTTGCGATCCTCCTGGACCCGGATGTCCAGGACCCGCGTTCCCCGGACGAGCTGGTGGTAGATGGACAGGCTCTGGCATTGAGCGAAAGGGCGAGTCACGAAGGGTATGCCGATCTTGTTAGTCGCGGAGTCGTGGGTTCCCGGCCAAACAATCTTGTTTATGTGGAGTTTCTCCGGCCCAAGTCCGGCCATCCAGGCTTTCCTATCTGGCGGGCGGTAGTCGCAGCCGGGGAAATCGCAGCCACAGGATTGGTGGAGATCACACAGGACCTTCTTCTCTGTTGATAAGGCCTTTCTTTTCTGGACCTGTGTGGAGACCGTGGAACCCATTCTTGAAACTCAGAAGGAGGAGGAGGAAGATCAGAGTCTTCTCTTCCTCTTCTTGCTTGCGGGTGTAACTGGTGGCAGAATAATTATATTCTCATCAAGTATGGGACATTGTAACCACTGGTGGATTAGTACCAGGGAGCTTGGACTTCTTTGTTATTGCAGGAAAGACCAGATGGGAAAAACTATGACCTACCATTAGGATCCTTTTGTTTTTATATCATTTGTATTTTTACAAAGTTGCTGGGTGTGAAATGTGGATTGGGTGTGTTGCATTCTTGTTCATATGGTGGGCCATGTTGATTGCATTATTGGTAGGAGGGAGCTATCATCATCAGTGCTAATTGGGTTGGTCCACTTGTGTGGCCATCAATCTAGAAAGTTTTATCCAGCCTTGTTGGGATATCCACCGTCTCTTCCTTCACCTGCTTTTTTCCAATTTTTGGCCAACGGAAATGAAGAAACTCTGTGCTGAATTAGTTAGCGGCGCTGGAAAATCAATGTTTTATGGGGAAGATGGCCATATGACAGTAAGAACCATGTAAGGAGAGTACATGCAGGGACATTCTCTCGGCTTTAGATTTAGTAAATTTCAAAAGGATGTATTAGGTTAAAGAAAAGGGACAATTACTCGAAAAAAAGTCATAAACCTATTGTGCTGATGCCAATTCAGATCTAAACCTTTCAATTTGATCAATTTGGTCTTAAATCTTTTGACGATTTGCCAATTTAGTCCTTCCGGCCAATTTTGACCGGGAATCGCTAACATGGATACCGGATAACTGGCACTGACGCGGATAATTTTAAATAATTTTTTTGAATTTTTTCCTTTTTCCTTTTTCCTTTTCTTTCTTATTTTGTTTTGACCCTCACCCGCCCTTGCTGTGGCCGGCAAGGGCATCGCCGCCCTCGCCCACAACCCTCACTGGCCACTAGGTGAGGGCTCGCAAGCCCTCGTTGTGGCCTGCGATGGCCTAGGCAAGGGTCAAAACAAAAAACAAAAAAAAAAGAAAAAACAAAAATTTAAAAGAAATTATAAAAATTTGTAAAACTTATCCACGTCAACGCCGGCCGTGCTACATAGGACAATCGATGTCCACGTTAGCAATTTTCGGCCAAAGTTGGCCGGAATGACTAAATTTGCTAAATTAAAAGGTTTAAAGACTAGATCCGTACAATAGATTTTTGATTTTTTTTTTTAATAATTTTTCCTAAAAAAAGATAGATGTAGATGTTGTGCACCCTGTCCATGTCTAGGGAAGATCTTGAGCTCGATCTGAACTCTAAAATTGTATTCATCCATCTAATTGATCTTCTTGCATGACCCCAGATCATCTTTGTAAATCCTTTCCTCTGTTTCTTTCTTGCAAAGGAGAAGTAGAAGGTCAGTATGTTTTTCAATGTCGATCCTCAGGGGTGAGAGATGATTAGTCTTCGGCCCAATACCCAAAAAAACCCTAAACTTTAGACTTTGTCCTAATTATATCCAAAACTTTTTTTTATCTCATAAAAAACCCCAAACTTTTACTTTTGTCCCAAATTTACCACCGTTAACTATCCGTCCAATATGGCCGTTAATGATCCTACGTGGATTTCCACATCAACCCTCAATCGGACGTGGCTCTGATGTGGCGCCACGCGAGCGCTACATTGGAAAAAAAAAAAATTACACTGTTCATCATCTTCTCCACAGCCGCGAGCACTGTTCATGGCGTCATCCTCTTCAATCGGTTGGCCAAACTCCTCCGGCGCTCTTGCTTCGCTGGCCACTGCTACCTAGACCTCCGGCGGCTCTCGTCGGCGCTTGCCGGACCATCCACCAGCTTCGAAGATCGAGGTTCAAGCCAAGCTTTGAGCTCGAGCGGCCATGGCAGCCGCAAGCTTCGAGCTAGAGCGGTCATGGCGGCCGCGAGCTTCGAAGCAGCTTGAAGCTCGACCTTCGAAGCTCGCGGGTGGTCGCAAACTATTTTTTGTGAAATTCAACCTACTGCCGAATTGTAAGGCGCGAAGTGATGCTGGGCGCTAGATCTCGAGTTCCTGTGCAGCGAGCACCAGAACGACCCGGGATGCGTCGTCGGAGAGCACATGCACGTCTTCTTCTGGTTCGGCATGGTCGCCGCCTTGCCGCCGCCGCCCCCGATCTGGTTCCTGACGGAGATCGAGTGGCCGGGGGACGTGGGCCAGTCGATTGAGAAGCGGACGGACGGGGACGACTGGCTCGAGTGCTGCCCGGACATCCGGACGCGCAGCGGGGAGGCGTCGCGGGAGAAGAAGGTGGGCGATCGCGCGGCGAAGCTCGAGCTCGACGAAGCAAAACCTGAGGATGACGAGGAAGCGATTGACAGGGAAGAGGTGTGGAACGTGGAGCAGAGATGGCCCCTGGATCTGCTTCTCGACGAGGACGCCATTGTTGCACCAGTAAGGAAGGAACTCAGTGAAGAAGAAGAAGAAGAAGAAGAAGAAGCAGTTAAAAGGTTCTTTTTTTTTTTCTTTTTCTTGAGCGATGGTCGAGCTAGAGCGGTCATGGCGGCTTGCGACCACTTGCGAGCTTCGAAGCTCGACCTTCAAGCTACTTCGAAGCTCGCGGCCGCCATGACTGCTCTAGCTCGAAGCTTGCGGCTGCCATGGCCGCTCGAGCTCGAAGCTTGGCTTGAACCTCGATCTTCGAAGCTGGTGGATGGTCCGGCAAGCACCGACGAGAGCCGCCGGAGATCTAGGTAGCAGTGGCCAGCGAAGCAAGAGCGCCGGACGAGTTTGGCCAACCGATTGAAGAGGATGAACGTCATGAACAGTGCTCGCGGCTGTAGAGAAGACGATGAACAGTGTATATTTTTTTTCCAATGTGGCACTCGCGTGGCGCCACATCAGAGCCACGTCCAATTGAGGGTTGACATGAAAATCCACGTAGGATCATTAACGGTCACGTTGGACGGAAAGTTAACAGTGATAAATTTAGGACAAAAATAAAAATTTAGAATTTTTTATGAGATAAAAAAATTTTGAATATATTTGGAACAAAATCTAAAGTTCGGAATTTTTTTTGGGTATTGGGCCATTAGTCTTTAGCGATGTTTACAAAATGTTGGGAAAGAAATGGCTGCTTCCACAGGAAAAGCTGGACGGCAGGCTGGACAGGCATGATGATGATCTAGGTCTAATCTTTACAAAAAGTGAAAAACTTAAAAGTAAAAATCACTCCAAACATAAAGTGAAAGTAACATACTTTTAGGAAAGGTACTTGTTTAAATTGGCTTGCGAAAATTTGGACTGATTTCAAGAGCAGAGGCATAGATAATTCAACATCAGCCGGGGGAGTTCGTTTAAGATTTGTTTGGAGATACAGTAGGCTAGGCTCTACTGTTTTTAGATGTTACTCATTTTTCTTTCTTGGTTATAAGTCCTGATGACACCTAAATTTTGGCGTATCATTTAGTGTAATTTGCATAGAAAATTAGGGATTAAATTTTTAACCCCTAAACAAAAATATTTAAATTGCATAAACATATAGTTGAGGTCCATTTAATTTAATTGCATTTTTTGCATCAGATTGGCAGTGGCGAATGAGCTTAAAATTTCATCGAACGAGACTCGGCTCGCTTGGAATGCAAGGGCCGGGAATTACAAGTCAAACGGGCTCGGTTGTTTTAATTTGAGCTTAATTCAGCCCATTATCCTTAATTAATTCAGCCCATTTAAATTAAATTAAAATCTAAGCCAAAGCCTAAGCCCATTAAGACTAGGAAGCCCGGTTAATTAACCTAGGGTTGCGATATAAATATGTCGTTATGCGTCATAATCAGGGGGGCTCTCATAATTTTTCAAAGAACACAATTTCTGAGAGCAAGAGAGACACACGTGAGCGAGAGTAAGAGTGAGAGGAGAAGACGGCCGCACGTGCCACGCCGCCGCCGCACCAATCGCTATCGCGAGTGCCCGTGTCGCGTTCAAGCCCGTGCCGCCTCACGCCGCGCCCTTTGCTCACGGCCAGACCTGTGGCCGTGAGTTGCCGCCACTGTTTCGCCACCGGTGCCGTCCCCGGCGTCACACCAGTCACTGCCGCTGCGCCAACGTCCTTGCTGCACTGGCCGCTGCCTAACGAAGCCGAGAAGCCGCTGCATCGCTGAACATCGTCGAGCATCCTTTGCCGCAGCGCTTCAGCCTTGAAGAGCCGCCAATCAGCCTTTGTGTGATTCGTGGGTGATACGCAAAGGAATAGAAAGAGAAAAATCGTAAGTGGGAGCCAAAGAAGAAATATTGTGGTGCCCTGGAAGATTGAAGATGGTGATCCAGTGGTGACGTTCGTGAGTGCAGTTTCACAGAGTAAGATTTCTTCACAGCTACAAGACAAAAGAAAAGACAACCAAAAGGGTAGTTGCAATTGAAGACTTCGGTTGGAGCAAGCAATGTCAACATCCACAAATCCGTGAACCCATACCAACACCGCAATACTGGCGACATAGCAAGTTTCCTCGGCGATTGTTTTTTAGTTCTTTTTGCAGGTTCTTTTGGTCAAGCACTCCCCCGTCGAGTCATAACCACCGTGAACCACCACCACGGCTAGCCGTGCTGGTCATTGTCGGTCACCCGCCATTGGCCCTGATCCGCGATCCCGAGTCCGATCTTGAGACGATTCAAATTTGGAAGTTATCCGCCAATTAGGTAAGATTATCCGAATATTTATTTAATTTCCTAGTTTTCGGGTGTTTGAATATTTCGTGAATATCATGTGGATATTTAGAGATCTTAGGATAATGTTCGATATATCCGCAACATTTTTAAATATTCAAAATTAGGAAAACTTCCTAATTTAGCAACGTATCTGGACGACTATCCGACCTTATCCCTAAGGTTCGATACGCGGCGATACGGAAAATTATTATCCTATCCATAACCACTTGGGTACGATAATGATTTTTATCCGCTTTCCAAATTTGAATAATCGGCTTTCCGTCGATATCTATAACCCTATAGATATGACCGATAGTTTGATTTTTGTGCTTAATCCGAGTTTGAAACAAATATGGCGGATCGCGTGGACGTTTTGAATGTGGTTGCTATCCTTGTTTATTTAATTGCTTTCCTTTTTCAAATAAACAGAAAATTCAAAAAATATTAATTAGATTTGAATTAGAGTTTTTGCATGTCTAGGAATCCTAAATATATCTAGAAGATAGAGTAGTTATTTAATTTAAATTAGGACTTGAGATAATTTATTTCCTAGTTTAAATTAAGTAATATTCTAATCTTAATAGATTATTCAGGTTATTTTATTATTTCGAATTTTAACAAAAATCCTAAAAAGAAATCATGCTAGGGTAGATTAAGTCATCATAGTTTGCATGTTAATTTAGGCATTTTTATTATTCCGAATTTAAATTGAGAAAATACCAAAAATAATCATTCGTCCTGTCATTAGAAATAGGTCACGTCGTCGCACGACATATAGTTTGCATGCTAGGTTGCATTAATCGCATGTCATTTTCGCATGTCATTGCATATAGGCTAGATTTCATTTAAATAAGTGAAAATCCAAAAAAAAAGAAATTGAGTGAATTGCTTGTTAATTAGAAATCATATTAGGGTGTCAATGTGATTTTCTAGCTAACAATGCAGATGCTTACGTTGCTTCCAGGTAAGTAATTCTTCCAAACTTGCAATTTATTTAATGCTTTCTGGGTGTTAAATTGGTGGTTTGCGCACTTGCATGAACACCTCACATGTTAGTAACTAAGTTGAAATGGATCCAAACTGCCTGCCAAAACATTTTTGAAAAGAAAAAGGTACCGAAAGGGCGTTAGACCAGATCTAGCGTAATCAAGTCCCCGGGCTTAGAATCTATGGTTCGTAGGAATAAAACATATCTCCCTATGTTTTATTTAGGTTTCTAATCAACCTACCACAAATAGATTAGTGGCGACTCCAAGCATGAAAACTTTTGCATGTTAAAAATTTAAACCCTAAGTTGCGAATTGGTAGGGCTTGGGAGGGCCCGAGTTAGGCTTAGTCTTAACAATCCATTAGCCTGAAAGAAATTTTAGGTCGCGACAGCTTGGCGACTCCGCTGGGGACTTGAGTTAAAACTCTTAGTGGACTTAGGCCAGTTTTTCTTTTCAAAAAAATATTTTTGTTTGGCAGCGAGGATCCCAGGTACGTCCCTAACATTTTAGGTGTTAAATGTTTTTGCAGAATGGGAGGTATAAGGGGAGGCGTGATTGTTAACCCTTGTTTTGCAGGGAGGTGTTTGGATGTATGATTTATTTTATTCACGAAGCGCTGTTTGATATAACATGTTGTGCATGCCTTGCATTTACACTACACCGCACACACTACCCGCTGCCGGACCTGGGCGGCACAGGTTTAGGATGGTACTGAGACAGCGGACACCCCGACCACACCCGCGTGGTACGGGTCGCCCTCCTTGGTCTCGAAAGTTCTTTCACGGTGTCATTGAGTTCCCACCACGGTTGCACCCTTTGCAACCCGGGTCGGCTCCTTGACTAAGCCGGAGTAAGGGGAACCCCGGCCTAACCACAACCATGACTGGTTTAGCCCGGTAATCCTCGCGTCTCTATTTTGCAAGCCAGAGTCTAGATAGAAATCGAACCTCACATTTCATGCGCATGTCTATGTGATTGCCATGGTCCTATCGGGTAAAGTAAGTTTTCTGAACCTTTATTTCGCAATTTATTTATGTTCCGTATTTTCTTTGGTCGGTCCATGACATTAGGTCGGTCATGAGTCTTGGTCTATACACTATGGGAGGGGCAGACATCCGGATTCTTGATGCTCCTAAGGACGAGCTCCGTGCCTGGTGGAATCTACTCAGTCTGACCAACCGCAAGCTAGTTGAGGGCCACATCGGGAGGCTGCTCCCCCTACTGGAGGTCAAAGTCCGTACCGGCCTCGTTCGAGCATTAGCGCACTTCTGGTGTCCCGAGACCTCTACCTTTATATTCGGTAAGCACGAGCTCACCCCGACGTTGGAAGAATATAGCGTGCTCATTGGAAAACCATTGGAGTCGGAGTTAGTCACACCACCTTTGGGAATTGATTCTACTTTAATGTTGGCTGAATTTTTGAATGTTGGAAAAGATGAATTGGGAAAAGTTTTAAAAGCAAATCGCGGCACATGTCCTTTTTCATTCCTGAGTCAGTGTTTTGAAAAAGCCACATCTTTTCAAAAGGGCAAAATCTTTTTGTTAGCATTTTTCGGGTTCGTGATTTTTCCTCACTGTAAGAATGCATGTAGTCCGTCAATCGCATGGTTGGTCCAACAAGTCTGTCTTGAAAAGAATTTTGGCAACACCATTTTAGCCGAGACTTTCATTTCACTCACTAAATTTAAGCAACATGTTGACAAAACGTTTCATGCCCCCCTCGAACTTTTGCAAATTTGGTTTTTGTCTCACATAAAAGGATGTGGCGATTTACTCACAATATCCGAGCTTAGTGATTCTAACCATCCCATTTTAAGCTATAAAGGAAAATAAGGAAATGCACCTGATTATCATTATTCCGAATGGATCATTTTCATGAAAAACGCTAGACCCCAAGGTTTCCATTGGCATGCTAATTGGTTCAAGGTCGAAGAAGCTCGGCTTACGTGTAATGGTGTTGGACCGGTGCCACTTTTGGGCTTCACTGGCGCAATCGAGTACTACCCTGCCAGAGTGTCCCGACAGTACCAGATTCTCCAGGGACTCCCTCCGGCGTTACAACCGGAACTCCTCCGGGTCGACTTCGCCGATGATGATAAAGACCACGAAGAGACCGTAGCTCAGTTCAATAAGATGTGGAAGAAGTGCCGTGTGTTAAAGATAGCTCGGCCCGAAGAAGAACTAAAGGGAGAGCAGAAGTCCTATTTCGCGACGACCCAGTACATTCGACGGCACAGAATCCCACAGGATTTGCTCCCGAGGATACCCAAGGTGCCTCTCAAGTCCGCCAATCGCTCAGAGAACAATCGCCTCAAAAGGAAGGCCGAAGAAGCTGAAGAAAAGGCATCCAAGATAGCTCGAGCTTATGAGCAATTGAAGAAGGAAGTCGCCTCCCATATGTCTATAGATCAAGCTAAATAATAAGCTCGAAGTTCTTTTCTCATTTCAGTTTCAGTTTTTAAATTTGTTTAGGAATTGAGTCATTTGTCTTTATATTCAGTTCAATTTTAAGTCATTAATTGGTGTAAAAATTTTCACCATTTCAATAAAGGGGTCTTTTTAATTCAAAGCGGTTAGACCAATGTCATGGATCGGCGTATGATTTTGCTTGACACTTATGTATGCCTGTTTCGTTCCGAAATTAGGTAACTATGGACCGATCACGATCGCCCATTCGTACACGGTCGAGAGCCAGAATGGCCGATCAAACCGACTTGCAAGAGCGTGTTGTTGGTATGGAAGACCAGATGAAGCAACTTGTCATCGCGATGCAACAAATGTCCGCTGAGATCAAAGCTCTTCGGTCGATCCCTGTTCCGGCATCCCTCGAAACATCATTCCCAAAGCAGAAAGTTAGAAAAAGTGTCGATGTTGACGGAGATGACTATATTCCTGATTTAGAAGATGACCCCGTCCAGATTATCGACAACAAAGACAAACCTGACGAACGAGTCAACAAGCTTGAAGAAAGAGTGAAGCAGCTGGAAGGTTCGCAGAATTCACCTTCGATCGATCTGTCCCTGTACTCACAGATCAAAATCCCAAAGAAGTTCAAAATGCCAGATTTTGACAAGTACAATGGCACCACATGTCCAAAAGCCCACCTGCAGCTCTATCACGTACAGATGACTTCGTATGTTGACAACGAACTCCTGATGATCCATGCCTTTCAAGCAAGTTTGACGGGTCCTGCTTTGAACTGGTATCTCATGAAGAAGATAAATGGCCTCAAAACTTGGAAAGAAGCCAGTGAAGCATTCTTAAAGCAGTACAGATTCATAACGGACATCATTCCTACCCGTGATGATCTCGAACGTGCTCAAATGAAAAAGACTGAGTCCTTCAAAGACTATGCTATCAGATGGAGGAATTTAGCTGCTCAGGTTGTCCCAGAACCCATAGACAATTGAGTTGAAGAGGATGTTCGTAAAAACTCTCCCGTTCGAATACCGTAATCGGATGGTTGCCATTCCGGCTGACAACTTCAACCAACTCATCCCCATAGGCGAACAGATTGAGATAGGGCTGAAAGATGGATGGTTTGTCGAGCCGTCCTCCTCGACCAGAAGATTTGGTGCGAGAAAAGAGAAAGAACCGGCAGCTGAAGTGAATGTGGCTTATAACCAACCGAGCCGGCGGAATACTAACTCCGCCCCAGCAATCCAAGTAGCGGAAGCTCAGCAACAAAACTCGGGTCGTCAACCTTTTCAAAGGAGGAACAACAAGAGGCAATTCACCTCCCTCCCCGGGTCGTTGTCTCAAGTATTGGCAGTACTTCAGAAGAAAGGCTTGCTTACTACTGAGCCAAAGCGGCCCAATCCTGAGCGGTTCTATAACTTCGACCCGTCAAAGAAATGTGATTATCACATGGATGAGCTGGGACACTCAACCGATGATTGCTATGTCCTCAAGCACCGAATCCAGAACCTCCTGGACACGAGGGCTTTCTCATTCCAACCCGCTAAGCCGAATGTTCAGAATAACCCACTCCCCGATCACGCGGGCAATGTGAATGCCATTTTTAGCTTCGATGCTGGTCGAATTAAGAACGTCAAGGTGTATACTACGGACGTCTATGGCGAGTTGGTGAAAGCCGGTTATTACCCGAGTAACGAGACCCTTCCCCTGGCTGTCATGAGAGAAAGAATCTCAAGGATGGTAGAAGCTGGGATGATTGTTTATGCTGACCACACTGGCATTGTTTCCACTATTTCTGAAGTGGTTATTAATTGGGAAGAAGAGTTTGCTACATTGAACATCGGGAAGGACAAGTTCGACCCTTTGCTTGAAGACATGCCTCCGCTCGAAGACGCGTCCGATGATGAAGAGATCGTAGTAAGCACGCCTACAGCTGATGAAGGGATAGTGATCGAGATACCTCAACCACATGAGTACAGTGATAATAAGGCGGTCTCTTGGTCTTACAGCCTCGATGTCGACTTGGTTACCAGATCTGGGCGTACCTATAGCGAAGCTAATGCCCAACCTGCAAAACCTGTTACTGATGAAGAAGCCAAAGAGTTTCTAGAAGTGATTAAGGCTAGCGAATACAACATAGTTGAACAATTGCGCAAGATGCCCGCGCAAATCTCTCTCCTTGAACTACTCCAGACATCTGTCAAGCATCAGAAGGCCCTAATGAAGGTGTTAAGTGAAGTCCACGTGCCAGAAACGATCGATCATGATAAATTGAAGGAATTTGTCGGTTCTATACTCCTCAAGGACCTCATAGCCTTTTCAGATGAAGAGTTTCCTCTGGAAGGGAGGGGGCATACCAAGGCACTTTACATTTCTGTCAAATATAAGGCCTCGCATGTAGCCCGGGTACTCATTGATAACGGATCAGCCTTGAATATCTGTCCTTTAGCGACTTTACACCGCCTCAAGATAGATCCTTCTAGGATAAATTCTGCAAAGACCTCTGTGCGAGCCTTTGATGGAACGAAGAAAGAAGTAATGGGAGAAATCCACCTTGACATATAGATAGGACCAACAATGTTCAACATCCTATTTCAAGTTATGGACATTCCCACTGCATTTAATTTTCTGTTGGGTCGTCCATGGATTCATACTGCGGGAGCTGTGCCATCCGGTCTACATCAGAAGGTGAAGTTCGTTGTGGAGAGAAAGTTAGTCACAGTCCACGGTGAAGAGGAGCACCCAATTTACCACGCAACGGCTATCCCCTATGTTGAGCCGGATTGCAAAATAGAATCAAGCTATCAGTCGCTCGAGCTCGTGTCAACCATACATGCATCGAGAGGATCATCACCGCCTATTCCTGAGGTGTCAAATGCTGCAGTCATGGTTGGAAGAGTAATGGTGTCCCATGGCTTTATTCCGGGTGAAGGCCTTGGTAGGAATGGTCAAGGTATCCGCCAGCCGGTGGAAGTCTCTCGAAGGCCCCACACTACTGGGTTGGGATACCAGGGGTCAAGCGGGCCAAATAATAGGGGACGTGGACATGAACGTGGACGCAGCCGAGGTCGAGGTCGAGGAGATGGATATAATAGACAGCGATCCGAAGAAGAGCCGAATGAAATTACCCACAACAATGGAGAGCTTGGGCATGGTAGGTTGCTTCCACATATCTGCACCACATTTCCGGGCCCTACAAGAATGATGCATGAAGAGAAAGAGGTGATCGACACTTTGGGGCAACCGAGCGGCAAGTTCGATTTTTATGTGAAATACTCGGCGCCCCCGAGCTTCTATGTTAACCCCTGTGACATTGTCCCGGATGGATGGGGAGGTATGGATGATCCAACACCTCTAATGACAAAAGATTCTGATGATGCAATGGATGGAATCACTGCCCTGTTTGATGATTTCTTCGTTGGAGCTATCGAGGAAGGACCGTTAGAGGGAATGGGCACAGGCCCACAAGAGTAAAACTTTTACTTTTTCGCACACTCCCCTGCGTGGGAATTTTTACTGCTTTTTAGGACTTGCCCCGTTTCGGGCGCTACTTTCCATTTTCATTTCTAGGATTTGATTGTTGCAATTTCCATTCAATAAATGTAATTCATTTTGAAATAATCAATGAAATTACAAGTTATTTTCGTTTTGAGGACATGTTGAGGTACATCAAACCAGCCCGGTGATGATATCCAACCGATAAAAGAAAATATAGTCCAAGGAGAATTCTGAGGCCTGGGCTTCTTCATGTTCCTTCGTGTTAAAATATTTTTGAAAAGAATTTCAAAAAAAAAAAAAATTTAGAAAAAAATGCAAGGTTTACCCCTGTTTGTCCTTCTGAATCCCTTACTTTATGTTTCAGGGGCAATCTTATGACGCGTGAAGGTATGGGAACGGTCCAATCTGATGAATTATGTGCCACTGAATCTGATCTCGATGATACTGATGAACTCGAAGATTCCTCGGACCTTCAGCGCGATCTAGAGCGTCATGAAAGGTCTAAAGTCCTGACGGTAGACCATACTATCACCATCAACCTGAGTGATTCCGGAGAACCCAAAGAGGTGAAGATAGGGGCAACCCTTCCCGAAGGTGAAGCAAAACGCCTGGTCCAACTGCTGAAGGATTACCAGGATATCTTTGCATGGTCGTATGCCGATATGCCGGGTTTAGACCCTTCTATCGTGGAGCACAGTCTACCTACTAATCCGGACATACTACCCAAGAAACAGAGGTTGCGGAGAACCAAGCCTGAACTTTCAAAGAAGATAGAGGAGGAGGTCATAAAGCTCTTGAAAGTGGGATTCATCGAAGTCACTCAATACCCCAGCTGGGTGGCCAACATCGTGCCAGTCATGAAAAAGGATGGCCGAGTTCGGGTTTGCATCGATTACCGCGACCTAAACAAGGCCAGCCCTAAAAGACGATTTCCCTTTGC